CCCCCCCATTCCCACTCTGCCAGGACAACTTAATTATAGGACACTCCTCTCCTGCTAGGAGGAGGTGGGAAAGGAGGTGTGCACAGGCCCCTCTGGCCACGGGTCCAAGATCCTTCTCGCAGAGCTGGGCAAGCAGGTGAGCAGCAAGGCCTGGGCTCTTGGTGTCCTTGCCTGTTGAACAGGGGGGACCAGCTGCTCCAGGAAGGTGCTGTGGGGATTACCTGAGCGGTGGAAGGGAAGCAGCCAGCATACAGGCTGCACATGGCGGGGGCGGTAGATGCTGGTCCCTTCTCAGGCCTCCCTCCCCCTGCCCCCCAGGAAGTCACCTGGCAGAGAGGATCCCTGGACTTTTCATCCAGTGAATGTCACTACTCCTTTGGAGAAAGGTGGAGCCGACCTTCTGGGTGATGTATACTTTACTTTTCTCCCACTCCACTCTAACTCGGGCCTCCATCACCACCCACCCCCTGGACTAGACAAGTGGGCGGCATCCCAGCTTAATATCTCAAAATTCTGGCTTTGCATTCCAACCACCAGAGGAGCTTTTTAAACAAGGGTGCTCCAGCCCTATCTCCAAAGATTCTGGTTTCACAGATCTGGGCATCAGCATTGTTAACAAGTCCCCAACCTCCAGTGTGGAACCAGAACAGAGACCTGGGCTTCAGGTCTTCTCTCAGTAACCTCATCATAGTGGCCACAAGTTCCAGCCGGTCTGGGGAGAAATCTCAGGAGGATTAGCAACAGCTTCGGGGTTGGGATTATTAGAGCACTCATCTCCAGGCTTGGGACCCCATTTGATCTGAGGTCTCTACCCTACTGGATAGAAACCAGACAAAGTTTAGTGGGTGCTGTGCGTCACTTTGTTCTCAGGCCAGAGACTGTTTCCCTCACACCCCCGCCTCCCACTGTCTGGCAAGATAGTAGGTCGAAACTGTGATGGGAAGAAAAAAAAAAACTACATAAGAGGGAGGCTGCACGCTTATTAATTTCCAAGAGCCCAAGTCAAAGAATGGAGCTGGAGGCACTTTGCTGTGGTTCCAATCCCAACAGTTTCCAGAAGAAGAAACGAGTGAGCATGAAGGCTGCCCGAGGAGCCTCATGGAGCCCAACTTCTGGCTCAGACAACATTACTGCAGACAACCCACGCCAGCCAATAGCCAGGGAACACAGAAACTGAGGATTACTCACGTTCGGCAGCATTGGGCGGCAGTCTTGCAGCCAGCAGCAGCAGTCCCAGGAAGCAGTAGAGACACTCCATGCCGCACGAATTCGCACAGACCCGGCGATCAGGGTTTAACCTGCAGCTCCCCTGGCTCCATCTGCTAAGAGCAGCAGCGCTCTTCTGGCCTCTGCTGTGCCTGAACTCATTTTAATTAAATATGGGCCTCGGGGCGGATCATGTGATGTTATTAAGCAGCGTTGCCTGATCTGGTCTCTTGAGTTCAGCCTCTTACAACTCATGTGCTTCTGACTCACTTGCTCTCAGCATGTTTCTTCACTTTTAAGATGCAGTTTCAAAGCTGTGACCCCACATTTGTGGTTAAAGAAATTTCTACTTAATTTTCTTTCCTCTGGATCCTATTTTAATGTCCTTCATCAAATAAAATGTTGATCTCCCACCTCATTGATTGTCAACTTGCTGCCATTCCTTCGCTACCGATTGATGCACCCAGCTCATGCTGAAATGGCACAGTTACGCTTCTTGTGCCCTAATTTCGATGACCAGCTCCTGCCAGTGCTCCCCACACGAGGAGGCCAAGATGGGGGATGTAGCTCTTCAATCACTTGAAATTGTGAATTACATACATGGATACCATATGTTGTGCCAGAAGGTGCTCGAAATAGCTACTCAGGCCTCCAGGAGTCGAGAAACTTACCCAAAAGCACATTTATGACCTCTGTGCAAATCCACATACACTTGGAAACAACCTACATCACTTTTGGTAACTGCTCTCAAAGCATCTATGTGTTGTAGAGTCAGTTGCAGAAAACATACAGCATATTTATGTCCTGTTACAGAACCCAGGCATTAAATGGCGAAACAGGCTTGTCTGGAGCATGAATTTTATACGATCAAATTATTTCGGGTTACCGAATGTGCAGAGAATGTGGAACACGAACGTTTTACTGGGTGTGATCTTTAAGTCACACCCACATAACCGTTTTCAGTAGACATAGAGGCCCTGTGTGGGGGGTGTGTGTAAAATTTGGGGTATTGATTTATGTTTCAGCTACACTATCAAGGAAGAGAAATAGTCTGTGAGGCTGAAATCCGCAGAGTGGGAGTGGCCTGCTCCCTGCCCTAAGGCCACACTCAGCTCTTTAGAGCTCCTGCTGCAGCCTTTGAAGCATATAAGGGGAAAAAACAGCAAAAGGGATGCACTATTCATGATGGAAACACTGTTTTCAAAGACAAATGAATAATTCAGGTGTTTTATGCTATGCGAAGAATCTATATAATTCTGCTTGCTTTTTACAACAATGTGTAACTTTTGGAATTTAATGAAGAGCTTCAGTGTAGGAAAAACTTACCGTTGATTTATTCTTTGAAGTGTTATTGCCCTTCGTTACCGACAGTTCTGGTTCATGTTTTTGGCCAGGTGAACTCCCTCTGCCTTTAAATAAATGGGAAGTGTCAAGCTCTTCTGTGACAAAACCTTAATTAATGGGGAGACAGGCACGGTGACCCAGTCTGTCTTGTCTTTCCCTCCTTCCCGCCTTGTCAGGGGGAGATGAACAGGACAGTGGCAGAAAGGCAGGCTCTTCACTCCCAGGCTCTGCCCATGGGCCGCAGGCGTCGTGATAGCAACAGCCGACCGCATACAAAGCCGTTTGCTTCGTAGGACCAGATACAAGGCTATTTTGGATAATATCCTCGGGGTCTTTTTTTAAAAGTATAAAAATCACACTGTAAATAACGTTTGAAATCAGTCCCTGGCCGAGGGAACCGTCCCAGTGACTTGGTATCATCAACGTGATTATTCAGTTTGCAAACGACGCTGAGAAAATAGTCAATTTCCGAGAAGGCATTAGCTTACCTTTAGTGTCCTGGTTTCTGACGCCCCTTGTGGTGGCCAAAGTCCTGTCTTGAGGAGCAGCACCTGAGGTGTAATGACCGCGGCTGCCGCTCAGAGGGGGACCTGTGGAGCGCCAGGTGACAACCGCACCCAGGGGTCCGGCCGGTGGCCCCGGGAGCTGCTGCTGCTGGTGGTGGTGGGGTGCAGTTAACACCTTTAATTTTAGTGATTTCGCAGTTCAAACTGGTGTTTCTAAGCCAGATAACAAAAATTAAGTTTCTTTTCTCCCCAACTTTTGTAACCAGCTCTTGTATTTGTTCCCTGTTGCCACTGCAACAAACAGTAGAAACTGGAAGGGTTAAAACAACACAAATCTGTTGTCTTATGTTCTGGAAGTTAGACCTGAAACGGGCCTCCCCGGGCCAGAACCAAAGTCTCAGCAGGGGAGCTGCCGTGAAGCCGGTTTCCTTGCCTCTTCCAGCTTCCTGAGGCTGCCCGCATGGCCTGGCCCAGGGCCCCGGTCCCTGCAGAGCCAGCCAGGGCCCGGGCCCTTTCTCACCTCGCACCTGACGCCGGCTCTGCGCCTCCCTCTCTCCCTTATAAGGACCCGTGTGGTTCCCCGGGGCCCACCTGATAAGACAGGCTCATTTCCTGATCAGCAACCTTAATTCCACCTGCAACCTTAATTCCCCCTTCCCGCACGACACCTTCACGGGTTCGGGGATTAGGGTGTGAACAGCTTTGGGGGGCCCATCAAAGCGAGACAGCCGGTGACTTGGTAAGAGGTGCTGTTTCTGAAAAAGAGCATGTGATAAGGCAGTGAGGGGAAGCGCCTCTCCAAGCTGCCAGGGCTTGTTGAAACAGAGCCTTTGATTTTTGGCAGCGCAGAAAGGCAGGAACAAACCGAAGATACAGGAATCGGTTCAAAGGAGAGAGCGAGCTCATGTGATGTGTGCCTTGTCCCAACCTGGGCTTCTACACGTGTTACAATCGGAGTCACGTTTTTCAGATTTAAGCGTTAACAAGTGACTCACCGGCTTCTGTCCTGGTCTGGCTCTTCAGTCTCTGTCTGGGTGCTCTCTGCGCGAATGAGTAATTAAACGCCCTCGTTTTCAGGTTTACTAAGTTTTGAAATTACACTTCAGCCAACATACGTTTCCTAGCTTTTCAGGGAAAGAGGGGAAAGTGAATTACGAGGCCAGCGCATGCTTGTACGCTCCCCTCCGCAATCACCAAGCCCCGCCGGCTGTTGCAGTTCTAGCCGGATGAGCTAAATTGGATAAGCACAGAGGAGGCACCGGGAGAGCGCATTGCAGGTGGGACGGGATGATATGAATCGAAGGGACATTTAAAAAAAAATGAAGTCCTGATACACACTAACATGTGGATGCACCTCAAACACATTGTTCAGTGAAAGAAACCAGGCACAAAAGGTCACCTACCGCATGACTCCATTTATGTGAAACATCCAGAACGGGCAGATCCGCAGGTGACTGGGGGGCTGCAGGGAGGAGAGGGTGGGGAGCGTGCTTCGTGGGTATGGGTTTTATTTTGGCATGACGAGGGCACTTGGGAAGTAGACCGTGGTGAAGGCCACTCAACGTGGGAAAGCACTAAATGCCACCGTGTCGTTCATTTTAAAATGGTTAGCGTTATGCTATGAGAATCTCGATTGAAAAGGAGCGAGCCGGGCACGGTGCTAGGAAGTAGGGATGAAAAACAGAAGGGCCCCCGGCTCTGGGGGGCTTGCAGGCCCCCTGCAGGCAGTGGCCCGATGAAGGGGTGTCGATGCGAGGACAAGCATGCCAGGGTGCTCAGCAAGGGCCCGGGCACGCTGACCACGACAAATACAACGTGAGCCACGTAAGCCATTTAAAGTTTCCTGGTAGCCACATTTAAAGCAAGTACAGAGAAACAGGTGAAAGTAATTTGATATTCCGCACGATTTAACTCAATGTACCTAAAACGCCGTTTCAGCGTGTGATTAGTGTATAAAATTAGTAACTATCTTACATCTTTTTTTTCATGTGGCCTTTGAGGCCCAGTGTGTGCTTCGCACGTACAGCACATGTCGTTTTAGGCCAGCGCGCGTGCCCGGGCCTGGCGACGGGGCAGCTCAGCTCCGGGTGGCCTGGGGCTTGTGCTGCTCCGCAGAGAAAGTCCTGGGGCCACGGGCTTGAGGGGTGTAGAGGTCTGCAAGCTGCGAGGTGCCGTGCTCACCCTATGTCAGGCCTGATTTTGATGGAAAGAGGGTGTAATGCACATCGGTATTATTTTTCTCTGCCGGATTTCTCAGGACTGGAGACACAGGGGAGGAACACAGAGGTCGGGTTCCCATTACACACGATTGATATAAATGACCACTCCCCCCCCAACTGTCCGTCTCCAGCATTCTTTTCAAAGTGGAAATAATTCCTGCAAAACTCCGTCCCTTCTCAACCTAGTTATCAGCGCCTCGCTCAAAATAATGTTTCAACATTAGCCAAGAGTGAAATCTCTCGAGGCAGCCCATTTCCAAAGTAAGGTGTGTTTCTATGACTTTATTTTTAACTTTAATTTTATTTTGAAGTAGTTACAAGAATAGTGTAACTCCTTTATATCCTTTATCCATATGGACCAGTTTTAACATTTTGCCACATTTGCGCACTAATTTACATATACTTATGTGTATCTTCATATATATATATACACATACATGTATGTTACTTTTTGTTACTGTTTTTTATGAACCATAAATAGAGACATCAGGCTCATTTAGTCTTATGTTCTTTAGCCGGCACTTCCTAAAATCAAGGGCATGCTGATAACATAAAAGCGCAGTGCATTCCCCAAATTGGGAAATCTAACATCGATACCATACTACCACCTAATCCCTAGTTTATATTCACATTTGGCCAATCATCAGTAACATATTTTATAGCACCCCTCCCCCCAAACGCAGGATCCCCTCCAAGATGCCGCGTCGTGTTTAGTCCTTGTGTCTCCTTGGTCTCCCCTAACCTGGGACGTTCCCTCAGCTCACTTTCTGAAGAGCATAGGCTGGTTTTTAAAACAGAACCCCCCTCTTCCGAGTTGTCTTCCTCATGAGGTTGCCTCTGGGACGCTAAGTATTCTGTTTGCTACGTGTAAGTTTGTAATTTCTTTTTTCAAATTTCTTTTTCAATTAGATTTGACATTCGATATTATTTTGAATTAGTTTCAGGTGTACAGCACAGTGGCTAGACAGTCATTCACTTTACGGTGTTCCCCCCGATATTTCCAGCACCCACCTGGCTCCATACATAGCTGTAACAGTATTATTGACTGTGTTCCCTACCTCCAGG